GTGGAATCTAAAGAACTTAATAAACTGATGAACAGAATAGATTCAATGACATGGAAGCATAGATCAGACTGACGAATGTCAGAGGGATGGAGGAGGGTGGGTTGGTGGAGGGGGAGAGAGTAACCAAAGAATTTATGTGCATATATACACAACCCAAGGACATGGACAATGGTGGGGAGAGGGACTAGGGAGGGGGAAGGAATGGGGTGGAACGGGTCATTGGGGAGAAAAAGGGACATCTGTAATATTTTAAACAATAATAAAACTTTTAAAAAATTTTAAAAAAAAAAGTAAACAGAGGTAATTTTTTTTAATTTTTTTCAATTGCAGTTTACATTCAATATTATTTTGTATTAATTTAAAGCATAATGGTTAGACAATCATTTACTTTATAAAATGTTGTCACCGATATTACCAATACCCACCTGGCACCATACATAGTTACTACAACATTATTGACTGTATTTCCTGTGCTGTACCATGACTACTTTATGACCAGCAATCTGTATCTTTTAATCCCTTCACCTTTTGCATCCATTCCCAAAGCCCTTCCCCTCTGGCAACCATCAGTCTCTGAACAGCAGCAATTTTTTTAAGCAGAAAATAACTCAGAAAAAAATAAGGAATAAAAAGGCAAATATGAATGTGGAGAGGCTAAAGATAAAAATAAAACAAAGAAATATTCACATGGAAATTATGAATAAAATAATGTTCAAGTTTACATTATTGCTAATTATCCATTTTAAAACCAAAATGATGATCCACATGTACTGTTCACTAGAAAATAAAAAATGATGGAGAGATCAAAATTTCCTTTTTGCAAATCCATGACTATGCTTTAAAAAAATCCAACATGCAACAAGAAGTGATTTAAAAGAAATTTCATAGTAACATTTTTCCTCTCAAAAAGGTTAAAATTAAAATTGTAGAAAATTTAGAAAATTCAAAGTTCTGCCTTATAGTCCCACTAACTGGAGGTAATCATGGTTAAACATTTTGGTATAAACTTTTCCAGTTTTTTATCAATGAAAAAATTTACATGTTTTAAACGGAAGCCTAATGATTTAATGACATGACTCATGCTCATAATACACCATATATGTATCAAAATGTCATTAAAAAGTCCTTTAAAATGTCTTTTTAAACAACTGCTTGTGTTCCATTTCATAGATACTCACTAATTTTTTTAACCAACCCCCTCCTCTGGCTGACTCCAGCTTTTTAACCAACCCTCCACTCTGGCTGACTCCAGTTTTTAGCTATTATAAAGAAATATTGAGTTCATATTATTGTACCTAAATTTCATATATACACAATTGCTTTCTCAGGATAAAGAACTAAAATTCAATTGCAATGTTTAAACCACAGAGAATTTTAAGAAAATTTTAAGATTATTTCCCCAATGAAAGTATTTATCAATTGTCTGATTTTTCTACATCTTGCTAACAATCAACATGATCATCTTTTAAAATGTCCGTTTGATAGCCAATAATGTGTTCTATTTTAATTTGCTTTTATACATTTGTATTGATTTGATTTCTAGAAAAAGAGAAATTTTATACGTTTACTGGTGGCTATTGGATGTCTTTCTTCATAAACTGTCTGTTCATGTCTCTATTGAAATGGAAGGCAGTGTGTACAGTGGTTAAGAGCATAGCTCTGGAGTTAGAACCTGAGTTTGAAGCTTTAATCCATCACCAACAGGAAGGCCTCTCCAACTCTTACTTTTTTCACCTATATAAGATAAACCTTGGCCCATTTGGCTCAATGGTGAGAGTGTTGGCCAAAGGACCAAAGGGTTGCAGGTTCAATTCCGGTCAAGGGCTCAATCTCCACCCCGGTGGGTATGCAGAAGGCAACCAATCAATGTCTCTCTCATCGATGTTTTTTTCTCTTTATCTCTATTTCCCCTTCCTCCCTCCCCTCTACTATCTCTAAAAATAAAAACAGTAAGACAGTAACAGCACCTAGCTCTCCACATGAAATGATGACCTGGCATGTACTATGCGTTCTTTCATAGTTTAAGAGCTCTTTATAAGAAGGATTTTCACCCTTTGTTCACTGTATGTATTGTCCCCACTGTTCCTAGTTGTCAGTTGCCTTTCAATCTTGTTTATAGTGGATTTTGGCAGACAGAAGCTTTAAAATTTTTGTAGTAAAATTTATCACTTTTTTCTTCAAGATATTTGCCTTTGGTATCATGCTTAGAGAGGCAACAGATTTAGAGGAGTAAAGATAGTACAACTTTTTCAGGAAAGCAAAATAGAGCTGGCATGTGTATTGTGAATCAGATCAAAATCCAGCATTCTTCTTCTCATGCACCTCTACTCAGCATGCACAATTTTTAAATAACTTCAGTCTGAAAAAGAAACGCACAAAAATCACAATGTCAGTCACTACACCCAAAGCTTCCAATGGTCGTGACCTTTCTAGTTCCCTGGTTTGGTTGAATCTTCATCTTTGGTTTCAGTAAAAGGTATATAAATATATATAAATCTAGACATATCATAGTAAATTAAAATAAGTTTCTCTTTTTAACCAATTTTCCAGATGATTGTGAAAAAATTATAATGAAGTTAATCATCGCATATATCAAGGAACTTCCCAAAACCACTCATCTCTGAGGGAGTCTGGATTATAACCCTATAATCAACAAATGCAACACAAAGACTTTCAAGTTTAAGCAAAATAAATCGCTAGTAAGGTAGCAAGGTTCTGCTCATTTTAACTAGGATAACATTTTCCATCCAGCAGAGAACAGTACACCTAAGCTGAAATACCAAACTATGAACTGGTTCTTATACATGTGTGACACAATAGCATTAAATATCATGGTTTCATTACAGAGGTAGTATTCAGTAGATTAACATGTCTGAATTAAAACTATAAGCAGCAACTGTTGGTAGGAATGCAGATCGGTGCAGCCACTGTGGAAAACAGTAGGGCAATTCCTCAAAAAATTAAAAATGAAACTGTCTTATGACCCAGAGATTCCACTTCTGGGAATATAGCCAAAGAAACCCAAAACACTAATTCGAAAGAATGTACACAGCCCTATGTTCATTACAGTATTTTTTACAATAGCCAAGAAACAGAAGCAACTCAAGTGCCCATTAATGGACGAGCGGGTAAAAAAGCATATGACTTGGCCAAAGAAAAGAATGAAATCTTGCCATTTGCAGCAGCATAGATGGACCCACAGGTTATTATGCTGAGATAAGTCCAGAGAAAGACAAATACCATACAATTTCACTTATATATGGAATCTTAAAAAAAACACACACCAAAACCAAGCAAACAAAACAAAAGCAAATTTACAGATACCGAGAACAGACTGGCGGTTACCAGGGGGAAGGAGGTTGGGAGCAGGGCAAAATGGGTGAAGGGGAGCAGTCATGCAGCGATGTATGGTAATTAGACTTACAGTGGTGAAC